GAATGGTATGACCAGATGGGATACATCAATATGCTGAAGGTTTTGTACAGAGATCTTTTGAAAAACAATTACGAGTTGAATAAGGCTACTAAAGTGATGGACCTAATGAATTTGTTGATTGCTTCTGGGGATCTACACTCAACACATTTAAATCTTCTATATGATACCATAAACATAACAAAGCAGTATGGCTTGGAAAGGGAAATCAAAGATGTACTGCCAGTATTTCAAAATGTTAGAGATGCAGTAATCTCAACATTCACACCTCACAGACAAAAAGTTATGAAACTTGGAATGGTACTGATTGATGAAGATTTAAAAAAGATCTGTGGATTGTATAATAAACCAGTAAAGGAATATGCAGACACATGGAGTCTGATTATGGATCTGGAGCACAACAGAATAATTTGTGAAGGAAAAATGGACACCTTCATTGAAAAACTGAATTCCCTTAAACTCCAACATGCTGTGGAAGGTTTAACAGAAGGTATTAAAGTTAATTGTTATTTCATATCAAATTAATATTGTTATCTGGTGTGGCTATATAAGTACAGTCCATCATGCACCAGCTAACTGGCAGCAGTTATATCAAGTTATTTATATTAATGTTTTGAAATTGACAACATCCATTGCATTTTCAGTGCAAGGTGGCAAAATTCCATTTTTGGATAGATTTAGGGCAGGGGTTCTCAACTGGCGGCTCTTGAGTGTATGTTGTGCAGCCCGTGAGAACAAGCCGAAAAAAATATTTGTAGCAATTTAATCAATCAAATCGGAAGAGCTTCTAATTAAGAAAGGGGAACATCCCCTCCCAAACCATCCTATAGCTCTCACATGCGGCGCTCGGATAGTAAACCTCTTGCCTTGGCAAGAGGTTTACAATCCAGAATGAACAATTCTGGCCCTTATTGTGATATACAGTAGTTGAGAACAACTGATCTAGCTAGGGTATAATGAAAACCTGCAGTATTTTTTTGCTTTGATTACTTTAATCACATAAAAGACTGTTAAAGTTTTATTTTTTTATGGTACAGTACATCACAGAGATTATTATAGATCTGTATGGTTGCCGAAAATCACTCATAAAAAGGAATCTTCATTCTGAGTAAAATGGGTGATGATAATGAATTTCACTATTTAAGTATGTCCATGTCACTTTCTTTTAATTAGGTCTACCTTCAGAATTTGTAATGTATTATATTTAATTAACTTTTATTTACAGAAATCCCAAATGCATCTTCAAACTCTGGATATGGCCATAGTGAAGGTAATGACACATGTTCATGTAAAGTACTTTCTGAGGTTGAAATTCGTCGTGCTGTTTTGTTTTGAGCTGCTTTCTCTTCTTTTTTTTCTTTATATATTTATTTATTTTTTTATTTATTTATTCATTTATTTTATTTATTATTTATTTTTTTATTTTTTTTCAGGTCTGCCCATCACAAGATGTTTGTTTTTGCAAACAACTTCTCGGGACCTGGCCTTCTTCCAATTTTTGTATTTTGTATTTGTAATTTTGTTTTTCTAAGTGCATTTGGAAGAAAATAAATGTTTTGTTGAATTGAATTGAATTGAAGTATGGTTTATTATAATAATTATAACATAGGGTGGCTATCAATCCCCAATAACCTTTCCCAAAATAAAATGCTGTCAGGATAAATAGTAGAAAGCGTCTTTGGACAAGGTGCCAAGTAAGAGTGCCATGGTTTATCTTTTTACCAAAAGAAATGTTTACAAATGGTAAAGAGGATACCTTGTCATCACTTAGTGTCACTTTGCAAAAACATTTCCTATTGTAAACAAAGTTAAGAATATAAACAGAAGTAATTAATAAACAGAACAAAAATATTTTAAAAAGGAGAAAAGGAGAAAAGGTTTTAATAACAGAAAAACTATAAGGTTGTTTTTCTACAAGCTTCAGCGTAAGAAAGAACCAAATGATCAAAAATTAAAATTAACTGAAAGGCAAGCATAGTAAAAGACATAGTATCACTTTACAGTTTCTAGTATCCTGAACGATACCCTTCTTCATAATTGATGGTAGCAGCTCTGAACTCGTGGCGCTAATTTTGAACATGTTCAAAATTATCGCCACGAGTAGATAACTCGTAGTAAACTCGAAGAACTCGTAGGTAGCTCGTAGAGTACTCGGGGTACTCTTACCTAGCTCGTACACTACTCTGGATACTCGTCGGCGATTTATACATGTTCATATAAAGTATGGTTGATCATTATAATTATAACACAAAAACTAAAGTTGTTTTCCAAGTTCATGTAGGAAAGAAGGAAATAATTAACAATTTAAAATTAACAAAAAGAAATGCATGAAAAAACAGGTACAAAATGTCTGCCCCACAGTACATTTAAAACTATACTAAGCTACTCAACTGCTTTATTATTAATTTAACCTTGAAGAACATTTTTATGCCTCCATATTTTAACACGTAGTATGTTCACACACACTGCGTAAGACTGGTGAATCTTACGCCAGCGTAAGCTAATCCATGAATTAAAATTCCAAACCGTTCACACAAACATTCGCTATAACGCTGGCATTAAACTAGTAATAATATAGGCCTATGGAGGAATGTTTTCAGTTTGAAATAATAATATACGGGTTCAACTTCAGTAAAATATTTAGAGTGCATCATTAACACTTTTAAATATGTGAATTGTTTGAAGTGAACTTGATATGATTAGGCCTATTGTTCAAAGTGAACTTGATGATTGTACTTTAAATGAACAATTTTACTCTGATTATTCAGCAAGCATTGTGCAACAACTACCTAGTTCACACAAAAAGGGTGTAAACTCGCCAGCCTTACGCTGTGTGTGTGTGAACATAGCCACACTGTGGAAGACAATACTGTTTACTCAAAAACACTCTGATGTCATAATTCTCATTTTATATCTACAGTACAGATATTGTTGATTACTGACCATGTGAAGTATAAATTAAATATGCTAGATTGTTTAATAATTATAGATTTAATATATGTCATTTTATCTTTTATTTTGAAAGAAATTGCTGTGAAAGTAATTCAGAAACGCAAAGGAGAATCCTGTGATTCTGAAGGACAACCATATAAAAAGTATGCTCTTAATTTGTTAAATGAACTTGATGAAAATAAAGACTCCCTAACTTTAAAGGATATAAGTTGACAATAAATTTGGATTGGGATAGTTTTTGGTATTTAATTATTTTTGGCTCCCTGTGACTTAAAATGATGGTGATGATAATATTGATGATGGTCATGAGAATTGTTAAAAATGATGATGATAATGATGATGATGGTCATAAGATTTGCAAAAAAATGATGATGATGATGATGATGATGATGACAGCTTTGTTTCATAGTAAGTGATTATCAACTTTTGTTCACTATCAGTCCCATAACAGTGTGCATTTTATTGTACCTATTAACACAAGGTTAAACAGAAAAATAAGAGCAATAAAATGGTAAAAGAATAATTTAAATCATTTCAATGTTTCGTAATAAAGTTACAAGAGTTTAAACATACAGCTGTTTAAACAACAATACTTGAGAAATCAGCCTTCAAAGTTTATGGTAGAATCATCACCACATCATAAAAAAATAGTTGTTATTTAACATTGAAAATGGGGAAAATAACAGCATCACATGATGTATGGATACATAAAGGCTAGTTTAGTGCAATAAAATAGATTTTTTTTTAATTTGGCATTCCAGCATTTTTTGGCCAATATTTCTGAAACAGGATTTGTGACGAGCAACTGGTTTGGCTTGTCTTTACCACATATGCTTGTTGCTAAATGTATACCTGTTTAAAGAAAAGGCTGTACTAAATACTATGCAAGTTCACCCACTTCTTTGGAGAAATCCGCCTTAATTCCCATCAGAAACATTTCCACCTTACTCCCAGCAAATCCTGGTGCCATCACTGCCTCCTAACCCTTTACATAAATTTTCTATTTTTCTTGAAAATCTAATATTTCCAAAAGAAACATTATCAATACAATTCCAAGTAAAATAGAAACCATAATTTGGGACACATCTGAGGGGACACCACTATATAGTGAACACAACTTTTAAAGGTGGAGAGTATATATTTTAACACTACGGCCTACGCATTCCAATGGGACTCACATATTAAGGAGACATTAATAAGGGCTATAGTGTATATGAGGACAGGTTTATCTGGGCTATGTTCTCACACACACACACACACACACACCAGTTGACAGTTAGCAGGATCCAGTATCAGACGTGCTAACCCGTGCGTTCATACTAGGAAATACCTGATCCAGCTATCAAGATAATAGGGGATCACTGGCCAGTAGGAAACTAAAAATTGGAATTGCATACATGTGATTGGTTAATAATGAGTGCAACAGACTGATAGCGCTCGCTAACCGTTAGTGAATCCAGATCCTGATAACGGTTAAAGCTAATCCATTGGCCGTTCCCACTCTGGTGTTAATGGTTAACTCCTGATACGGATAATAGGTCTCTAGTGTGAATCCAACTGCATTCTATTATTTTCAATTGTTTTTACATTACAAAAGAAAATAATAATGTATATTAATAATAATAAATAATAACTTTCCTTGAGAAACATTGATTTCATAAAACGATTTTCTCACTAGCATCTAAGGGAATATCCAAGGAATTGTCTAGAGATGGTGATGAAGAGTGTAAAACAGTACTGGAGCAGCGAGGTGATTAGAGAAGTGTGGAATTTAATACCTAATTATGCTCTTATAAAAAAAACTGAAAAAATTAAGCAATTTTTTTTTCACATCTATAAAACAAATATACAGATCTAACCCACCGGCACTTTCTCTGATACAACTATACTGAAATGCTCACACATATAGTGGAGCTACAGTGCTTGATAAGCTTGTAGGTTGCAGCTTGGAAATAATAGTAAATACAGTAATATTCCAATTAGGATAGCAATTACTTCACTGTAACAGTATTAGGCCTAAGTATATTATTACTTTAAAATATTTTTTATTTTACAGGATTTTATTCCCAGATGGCTACCAGCAAGTTGAATCAGTTTCTGGAAAATGTTGATGAGAAGGTGTTAGAGTGTACCATCTGCTTTAACAGATTTAAGAATCCGAAATCCCTCACCTGCCTACATAGCTTTTGTTTGGCATGTCTAGAAGACTGGGTTAAGGTGAATGGTGAACTGACTTGTCCAACATGCTCAAAATCATATCCCATTCCAAAGGGCGGGCTTCAGAAGCTTCCACCAAATACCTTTCTAAACAATTTATTAGAAACTATGGAACAAATTTCAGAAAAAGATCAGATAAAATGTGTTTGTGGAAAGGAAGGACAGGTAAAATACTACTGCCAGGATTGCAAACAGTACTTGTGCTCTACTTGTAGTGATCATCATACAAATTATAGACTCTTTGCAAATCACAAGTTACATTTAATCGAGGAAGTGCAATCAATGAGCCCCACTCAGATAACTTTGTTACATCCACCTCTGTGTTCACATCACAGTAAACCTTTGGAGTTCTACTGCACAGATTGTAAAACTCCAATCTGTGTGAACTGTACAATTATGGACCACAAGGAATGGGAAGGAAAACACAAACCAATCAAAATTTCAGATGCATTCCAAACATTTAAAAAAACTTCAGCCACCTTGGAAAAATCTGCCCAACACTTCATAAACAAATTAGAAGGCGGTCTCAAAGCTGTTATCCACAATGCTACAAAATTACATCAAAATAAAGACACATGTTTAATAGATATAGACAATCATGTAGAAGAAATATTCAAAAAAGTAAAAGAGAATAGAGACAAAATGAAAAATGAAGTAGAGACAATCTACAAAAGAAAAAAGAAGGTAAATGATGTACAAATGGATGAATTTAAAGCAATATTATCCGATATAAAAACAAAACTGTCTTCTCTTAATCAATTATTAAAGAGTGATGAAGGCACTGCAATGCAGTCAAGTGAATCAGTAATTACAGCACTCAAAGACAGAATAAATGAATTACCAAAAACAGAGCCAGATGATAATGGAGAAATGTACTACTCCATAAACAAACAGCAGATGGCTTCATTGAGACAATGTGCTATAGGGACTGTAAAAGATTTCAGGGCAGCAGACTGTTTAACATTAAAAGGAGAGGAATCTGTGATCAAAAATCAGACAATTATTGTCAAAATAATCAAAACAGATGAACATGAAATGTATGCAAATCAACTGAAGGCAACATGGACACATCCTGCAGGGGAAACCAAAATCTCTCAAATTCAGGAAGATGAAAATGGAGATTATTTTGTGACAGAAAAATGCACAAGTCTAGGAGTTTGTAAACTAGATGTGAGTGCTGATGATGAACCAGTTAACCAATCACCAATGACAATCAAAGTAGAAGAGGGAAGATTAGTAAATACTATTCAAATAAATGCAACAAGTATTATAGATGTAGTTAAGTGTGAAGATGACTCCTTACTGGTTTCATGTTGGACAAATGAAATGCTCAAGTACAAGCAATCAGGAGAATATATTGGTAAGGTTACACTACCAAAAGGTGTGAAAGTTGACAGAATGTACAAAATGAAGAATGGTAACATAGCATTCAGTGATTTCAATAATACACCTATCAGAATATGCAATATGAATGGTCAGCTGATTAAAACAATTAGTGAGGGAGCAAAGAATACACCACGGAGCATTCATGTGGATGAGACATCAAATGTTTTGTATGCAGCAGAAGGTGGGTACAATAGCTGTGTGTACATGTTTGACATAAATAATGGCAAGACCATCAAAACAATAGGGTCACAAGGTAGAAAAGAAGGTCAAATGAGAAATGTCACTGATGTTACTCTTTCTAACCAAGGACACCTTCTTGTATTGGAGTACATGAACAGTAGATTACAATTATTTAATAATGAGGGAAGGTTCATAAAAGTCCTTGTTGAAGCAGGTGATGAGGATGGTAAGGTAAATTCTCCAAGAGAA